GGCACCCTGATTTATTAATAAATTTGAAGTCTGATTCTAATGAAGTATAATCATTCAATGTTGTTGCTAAGATGGTCTCTTTGGTACGCCCCCTCCTCCATTGCTGGCCCTCTTCCTTGATGACAATCGTGTCAAACTGATTGAAAACAACAAAGTCCATGCTCAATAATCCAGGTATACAATCCAACATTTTTCAGTCAGGTCATCTGGACAGTTTCTTTTTTGTGCTGATACGTTTCGCCTTCGATCCAGAAGGCTTCGTCAGTCAAGGAAACACACAACAAAAACTGATCCTTCCCTATCAGCTTACTCCAAAGTGGAACAAACCAGTTCTGCTTGTGATAAGATGGTCTCTTTGGCACGCCCACTCATCCGGCACTGGACCTCTTCCTTGTTGACAGTCGTGTCAAACTTGTTGAAAACAACAAAGTCCATGCTCAATAATCCAAGTATCCAATCCAACATTTTTCAGTCAGGTCATCTGAACAAAGTCCATGCTGAATAATGGTTGTTTTTCAACCATTAAAACACAACTGTCAACAAGGAAGAGGGCCGGCAATGGAGGAGGGGGCGTACCAAAGACACCATCTTATCACCAACATAACTGGTTTGTTCCACTTTGGAGTAAACTGTTGGGGAAGAATCAGTTTTGTTTTGTGTTTCCTTGACTGATGAAGCCTTCTGGATCGAAGGTGAAACGTTTCAGCACAAAAAAAAGAAACTGTCCAGATGACCTGACTGAAAAATGTTGGATTGTATACCTGGGTTATTGAGCATGGACTTTGTTGTTTTTAACCTTTAATAACCTTTATTAACAAAGCTTCTGACTCTGAAAGTGAGGAGCTCAGTTGGAGTTTTTTTTCTCTCACGCTAAACTTGTCCCCATGTTTTTTTAATGAGAAGACAACTTCATACCTTGCCACTCTAAAACAGTTTATTTCCTTGAGAACACCAAACCTCTGCTTTGTAGCTGCTACCACTAGACTGAGGAACAGCTTCTACCCTGAGGCTGTTAGACTCATGAATCTCTAACCAGAATAATCACTGTGGAAAAAAATCACATCATGTTGCTGCTGATCTGTTTCATGTTGATGTGTTCATGCGTGCACATCTGCTCACAGACTCATGTTCATGTTTGTGCTGATGTTCAATGTTTTATGTTATGAGTGCTTAGTGTATATTTAGTTGATGTTTTTCTTAGTTCATATCTTAGATGTTATTACTGTTTTTCTTTCACATTTTATTGTTGGATGTAACTGGGACCCTGTGTACATAATTTCGCTCCACCACATGTACCACATGAGGTGCGAATGACAATAAAGAGTCTCTGACTCTGACTCTAAATTAGTAACAGGTTCTAAGTACCGGTACTAATGGAAAAGCCTCGGAACCGGGACAAGTCGGGTCCAGTCGGCCCGTATCGGTACTAATGGAAAAGGGGCATTAGACAAAAAGGTAAAATTAAAATGGTCAAAAGAGGGTTTCAGATACTTAGGGGTCATTCTAACGGATAATTTGTCAGTTGTATAATGCCAATAATAGTCAACTTTTATCTCAGATTAAAAAAGACTTAGAGAGATGGCAAAGTCTCCCTCTATCTCTGGTGGGCATGGTTGAAATGATTAGGATGAATGTGCTACCACGGCTGCTTTTTCTCTTTAAGTGCCTACCAGTAGCAGTCCCTAATACCACATTTAAATTGTTGGACAAGCTTTTAACCAAATTTATCTGGCAAAACAAGCATCCGAGAGTGAGACTTAAAATGATCTGTTCCTCGAAAGGCATGGATGGCCTGAGCCTCCCACATCTCAAGAGTTATTACTGGGCGGCAAAGCTTAGGGCTCTGGTTTCATGGATTAGGCTAGATATAGATACAAAATGGGTACAGATAGAGCAAGGCTCTGTAGAAAATGTAATTTCCATTTCGGATTTGCCCTTTACAGGTAGAAAACAACGTCGAAAACTCAAAATCCAAAATGAATGGATTATGTTTTCTCTGGGAGTGTGCGAGAAGGTTAGGAGGAAACTAAATGTGCCACTTTCACTATCACGAGCTTCTAGAATAACCAGATTAGCTGATTTTGTACCTACAAAACTTGATGGGGGATTTGGAAAATGGGCTGACAAGGGCCTGATTACAGTAAATAAACTATTTGTAGTACCAACAATAAAAGCCTTTACACAGCTTCAAAACAAACATAACATTGTTAGCAGTGACCTGTTCAGATTCTTCCAAATAAGGCATTATCTCCAAAATCATGAGGAACTAGACAGACAGACTTTGAACAATACTGGATTGAAGTAGTAGAGGGTAAAAAGGAGTTTAAAAGATTATCTCAGTTTTGTATCAGAGATTGTGCATTGATCTAGATGAAAGGACCATTGATATGAAGAATAAATGGGAATTAGAACTCAATGTCCTAATCAAGGACGCTAACTGGGAGGACTCATGGAGTAGGTGGCACAAATGTCTTAATAGTCCAACGTGGAGAGAGTTTAGCTGGAAACTGAGAATGAGATTCTTTAAACCCCCTATGATAAGATTGTCAAACTCACTTACAGAAGGGGGCCAAAATTAAAACCTTTTTCAAACTAAGGTCTGGTTTCAGAATCTACATTAACTCAAGTTAGATACCCAACATCTTTTCTTGGTTGCATGTTCCTCAAAAAGATTTGATTGGTCTCATTTAATGTTCTCTGTTGCACTTTTGACATCATAATCAAAAATTACTGAAAAATTTCAAGTGAAAAAAGTATTTTACACTTAACATATCATCTTGGGGGCCAGATAAGATGTCAACGAGGGCCACATTTGGCCCCCGGGCCTCGAGTTTGACACATATGCCCTATGGTAATAGCCAGATATAATAATAATAATACTAGCCCCCTCTGCTGGTGGAAGTGTGGACAGATAGGAGATTTCTCTCACATATTCTGGGAATGCCCCAAGATAAAATTCTATTGGGAAAGGGTAAAAAAAAGAGATAGGAGAAATACTAAACTTTACAACGACCTTGGAAGTTGACCCTTTAGTCTTAGTTGACATAAACCTAGCATCTGGAGAAACTGAAACTATATATTTGTTACGAGCACTGGTGTTGATTGCTCACAAGGTTATTTTCTGAAGCTTTTGACCTTTGACCTCTCTAAGTGGCACATCTGCTAAGTTCCTGGTAAGAACCAATGCAGACATGTTCCTGTTTTTAGTTTTCTACACTGCCTTATAATCTAGCTGTTTTTTTTTTTTTTTTGCTACTTTTTTCCTTTTGACTGTCCTTTTGGTTGCCATTTTATTTTAATTTGTAAAACAAAAAAATCTGTATGCCTCTTTTATGATTGTCTATTGTTGTTGTCCACTGTTGTCATCACTCTTTGTTAAAATCAGGCCTGTCTTGTAAATGAGTCCCTGAGGCTCAGTGAGATCCACCCGTCTAAATAAAGGTTGAATGAATTACTGCAAACTGGATTAAGCCACATCCACCTACCCTGGAACAATGGATTCGGAGGCTGAAAGCTGTTAACTTAATGGAGGACGTAACCGCAACACGTAAGGACATTTATACATGAAGATGGTCTGCAGTTAATTTGTACCTGGAGCAGAGGTTATGAATATTTGTAAGAACAGAGGATGAGGAAAAAAAGGAAGAAAAAAGATCTTTACTTGTGTGTAAAAGCTATTTCTGTGAGAATGGGGCAATGTGTTTGTATATACGTATGTGGACTTTGTCAAGAAATTGTTCTAATAAAAGTAAAAAAAAAGATGAGAGATGGATGGATGGATGTGTTTAGGTGATGTGACAGCCTTAATTGTCTCCATCGGTGTGAAAGTAGACATGTATAGTTCTAGGTCTTTATTCTGCTCCATAATGTGACCAACCCTCAGAAAGTTTTTGGAACTGTTTGGTCCAGCAGCACCAACTTGGTGGTTTTTATGGGGACACTAATATGTGAGAGGACAAAATTGTAATTTTGTGATAGTGGATAAAAATAAATGTCAGCAAGACAACCTTAAGATTTTTCAGGATGCTTGTCCAGCCATTGTTCATTCTCCAGTTTGTCTTATTTGTACCAGTTTTGTAGCTCTAGACCTCTGCAGGTCAAGAACATCCCAAACGGCTGTCGGCCCTCTTAGTTCGGCTTTTTTCAAAGTCAATCTAATTCTTGTTCATACGTTTTTTAAAAGCTTCTAATACATCAACTTGGCACCATGGTGGTGAGGTGGTTATAGCTGTCACCTCTCAGCGACGTCTCAGGATCGCCTCCTGGCCTGAGGCCTTTCTGTGTGGAGTTGGCATGTTCTCCCTGTGCACGTGTGTTTTCTCTGGGTACTCTATTCTCCTCCCACAGATCAAAAGTAACCATAGGCTGATTTAATGAGGCTGATTGGTAACTCCAAAGTGTTCCTATAGGTGAGAGAGTGAATGGTTGTTTGTCTCGTTTGTCTCTAAATGTCCCTGTGATGGACTGGAGACATGTCCAGGGTTTCCCCCGTCTCTTGCACAGTGTCTGCTGGAGATAGGTGCCAGCTGTCCACGTAAACTGGAAAAGAAAAGTGGATAAAGAGAATGGATGGATGGATGAATAAATATATACATTTCATGTTCACCTCATTAGCGGTGGGCTAATTTAATTCCTTTCACTAGTTTGACTAGGTGCCAAAACTCTCATTTTTCACCTGAAATAATGTCATCTCAGTATTACAGGATACCTCATCCTGTTATGGCAGATCAGTTTTACATTCATACATATATTCATGTTTTTTTTTCCTTTTCCAATGTCACAATTGTTGCTTTAAATAAGTTTAACAGCTGTTTTAGTTCATATAAACATTTAACTGAGATGCGAGATCACTGCAATGAGAAGAGACCAAGTTACTCATCTTTAAAACCTTTGACTCTGACTTCATTCTCCTCTCTCCTGTGTGTGTGCGCGTGTGTGTGTGTGTGTGTGTGTGTGTGTGTGCGTGTCTGTGTGTGTGTGTGTGTGTGTGTGTGTTTCAGCTTACATGAATGAGGTCGACATTGCAACTCAGGGGTGGTTTATCGGCTTGATGTGTGCCATTGCCCTCATTATACTCATCCTCCTCATTGTCTGCTTTATCAAGAGGAGTCGTGGGGGCAAGTATCCAGGTAAGACCGTAGAGCCCAAATCTTATCTTGTTTTCTATTTTAGTCATTTAAGACTTGCGCCTGTTTTACCTTTGGTAGATTTAGAGCCTCTTTCACAGAACAGTTGTCCTCGTCTCTAAGCTGGTTCTGGTTGTTCTTAAATCACCTCATGAATGAGACATTCTGTGGTGATGTGTGTTTATGAGCTTGCATCGTAGAAGCAAAGGAGATGTGGAGAGCAACTCAAGGCTTTGATGTGCAGAGGGACACATGGAATGTGTGACAGGCATCTCTTATTCTAGATCAATTAGCTGGTCTCACAGACCATCTTGCTGTGAACCGTAGTTTTGAAATTTTGCCACAAAAATCAATTTTTATGGTAAGACAAAAGAATTGACAACAGCCTTTGGTATAGGTATGTTTAAACCGTGAAAAGTTGTGTAAAACTACTGCTGCAATAAGAGTTTTCCAAATGTGTGTTGAACATGGCAAGACACACAATATCTGGAACACATCTACTGTTTAATCAGAAATTTTTTGAAGTTAAGAACATCAGCTGGTCAGTTCAGACACATTTCTGAGTGGATACTTATTTTTCCAAACACAAAACTTCAACAAGCTCAGAAAGACAATATGGAAACAGATACAAAACCATGGAATATTTTATTTTACTTCACAAAAACAATTGAAATAAAACTATTAAGGTTCCTTTACTTTTTTTTTAAATTGTCTGGTCCAATCAGGGCCTTCTCGGAACACCTTGAAGTCCCTGAAGATCCACCACTGGTTCAGCAGAGTGACTCAGGCCATCTTTGGAAGATCAGGGTGGCTGAGGAAGAGAGGAGATTTATCAGTCAACCAGAGTCATCAGCCTACCAGACCCCATCTTCTCAGTAGAGTCCTTCATAATGCCTTGAGGACGACACAAAGTCCCCATGATGAGAACTAATCCTTCTTTCCAGTCTTTTATTTCCACTATTTTCAATGCTCAACACCCACCAGTATAGTCCCAAGGGCTCTAAAGAGGTATTGGCTGTCGTACAATACGACAGTTAAATGTTTTTTGGCATTTGGGCCACGCAACTGTTAAAAAATACCTAAAACCAACAAGTCAAAGGAACATCTGAACACATGGCAGAAGATTATCGAAGGCTGATGACGTCACGCCAGGGCCCGGGCACAGGCGTGTATTCAAGATGGCGACGTATTCTAGCAACAACAGTTTCAGTGGAGAAATGTCCAAATCCCTGCATCATTGCCAACTCATGACTTGAAAGTGTTTGAAACACAGAACACTGCTCAGAGACAGTGCTACAAAGTCGGCCTGGTTGAATTGGACCAATTTCACCCATTTTTCACCAGTTTCCTTGATTTTCGGGAATGAATGGGAGCTAACTCCCTCCTGGGCTGTGTCCCCACAGAACTGTGCAACACCTCGATTTGGCATGTTGTTCCTGCCACGAAATGTTTTGCCAGAAATCAAAAGGAAACAATCAGTCATAACAGTGTGCAACAGAAATGTAGCGGTCTGGTATGATCGGGTCCCTGGTGTGACATCACAAAGGGCTGTTTCCAAAGCCATGAATGAAACAGCTTGAAATCATCACATCTACCGTCTTAAAACCAGTTTGTTGCTATGTGTCTGTCAGATTTCACTCCAATGGTGGGTGTTAGACTTATATAGACTTATCACACACTTTAAGATTATTTAATTTATACATAGATATAATTTATTGTTTGTTTTATATGTTCTAAGTAAATAAATGTTCATGAGGAGGCTACAGCTGAATTGCCCTCTGAGGTTAATAAAGTTATCTGACTCAGAACTACCATTATAGTTTTGTAATCATTGACAAGGTGTCAAAATATTCTTTATATTCTGTCATTTAACAAACCAACAGATCAACATTTCACTTATCAGCACACATTTTTATTCATGGGTCACAGACAAGAAAAGTTTTTATCATGATGGTGCTGAAGAAAAACGGTAAGAATCTGAAGGTCGGTGTGCTCTGACACTGAGCAAAATCTGAACTCGGGAGTTTTTGTGTGTGTATGTAAAGAACTGTTATAACGTTTTGAAGTTTCTGTAATGTGTAGGTGCTTCCCGAGCTTCTATTGCAATAAAAGTACCTCGGTAGGTGCTGACCTGTGGCGCTGTGGGTCACATGGTGTACTAACTGTCAGTGACTGAGTGACATGATAATAATAATAATAATTTATTCAATTTGTACTGCACCTTACATTTTACAATCTCAAAATGCTAACGAGGACTAAACCCAATGAAAATTGAATATTAACAAAATATTTTAAGGAAGTAAAAACATTTTCAAAACTGACAAAATTACTAATGCCCCTTTGAACCTGACCTAATGTTAACGCCTTCTACATGTTTGACTTCAGTCTTGATTAGTGTGGTCCAAACAATCCAAGCAGTTTGATCTGAGGCTTCTGGAAAACTGTCTGCTGCCACAGAGTGGAGGGGAAACTGGAAATAACTCCCTCCCTCCCTCCGTCTGTCCATCTGTGCATGTTGTAAACATGATAATTTAAAAAACAAGTGAGGTACCAACTTCCATTTTAGTGTGTGGCTGGATTTAGGTGCAAGAACGTTTCCTTTAGAAAATTAGGCTACCACGTCAAAATCCAAGATGGCTGCCATCATTTATGTTTACACGTTAACCTTGTGAGCTGGATAACTTCAATAATAAGCAACTTGCCATCTTTGATGTTGATGTGTGGCTTCATCTATGCGTAAGAAAGGTCCCTATCAAAAATCAAAAATTGGGTTACCGGGTAAAAATCCAAGATGGCCACTGCCATATACAGATGTATGTAAACCAACTACCCCTATCTTTGAGGAAACTATGCTTTCTAGTTTTCATATTGCTTAAAAGTATAGCTTTCTCAAATGATTAGGATTGCCAAAGATTAATCTATGGTGGGTAAGACCCCCACTGGCCACCCCCTGGCTCCTCCACTGCTCCTGGTGGTGGATAAAATTGCTCCCTCCTGTCGCCAGGATCCATCACTCTGTGCTGCCTCAAACAAGTTCTTCTCCACAGTGTAACTCCTACTCGCACCAAAAACATTAAGGTTTACTTACATTCCCTGCTCAATTCCAGTCCAGAAAAACACTCGTCTCCAAAACTACAGACATCCACTATTCAAATCCCTCAGAGGCAGACATTGGTGTACCCCTTGCTTATTCTTGATAGGGAACTTCCTGCATTAAAGCTCCTCAGAGGTCCAGCTGACTTTGGTTCATCCTGCTAGGATCACCGTCTCCTGAATGAGTTCCAGAGAATCCACCCAGCATGTGCTTCCACCACACTTACTGACGTGCACCAGAGTTACTGAGGAAGCAGCAAAACAGCCATATTAGAAATCTTTCTTTGAAAATTGGCACAATTGACACATTTTTAAACACATCTTCCATAATGTACATTACCTTCTCTCCATCAGTCAGTTTTAATGTTTTTCTGTCAAGAATCAGGGCAAACAGTAAGTGTGGAACTGGGACACAGCTGAAGTTTTTAAATTAACTCAGTTTAACTCTGCATATATTATATTACTGAAGCAAACAGCTCAAACTGCTCTTTTTGTTTTTCTCGTTAGTTCGAGATAAAAAAGATCTGCCTTTAGACCCAGTGGATCAGAAAGACCAGGATGGATCCTTTGATTATCAGTAAGTATAATGACCTATTTCACACAACTTATTGCTTATTATACTGATATCAGGGGAAAGAGTGAGATAATAAACACAAATCAATTACTGTGTTTTGTACAAAACCTTTTTGTGTATTCTTAGATAGAGTCTGTAATACAAACATTTGAGTAATAATACTGTAGAGTATAAAAGTTGATGTTCCTGTTTTACTTGAACTCTACTCAATTTTGTCACCGAGAATTCATAAAGGACTGGGCAAAAGAAGATACATCAATTATTATAACCTCTTATGTTATATCTTATAATGTTACAGTAAATCTTTGTCTTTTTGTTTTGAGTATTCAAACTGAATGGGATCCATGTCTGGTGCTGACTAATTATTGAGCAGAAATGTTTGGACACAGTGTGTTGATGTGTAAGACTCAAGAGCTGAAGAGCAGTGAGAATCAGGCCTCGCACAGGTCCATGCTGCTGATGTTTGCTGTTTGGTTTTTGTCTCCTGGCGTGAAGCAAAGAGGAACAATTGGAAACTCCCTGAATCCATCTACTCGTTTGTGCATGTTGCGAGTATGATCACTTGAAAAATAAGCAAGTTACCAACTTCCATATTGGTTTGTTGCTACATCTAGGTGTAAAAAAGTCACTATGCATGCATTTATGTATGTATGTATATATGATATATATATATGATGTATATATATATATATATATATATATATATATATATATATATATATATCCCTTGTAATGATATATATATATATATATATATATATATATATCATTACAAGGGATGCACGATATTGGATTTTTGGCCGACATCCGATACGTTAAAACTTATTCGGCCAATAACCGATGCCGATATTTTATTTACGTTCCTTTGTCAGAACATATCCCTCTTATTTAGCCTTATTTGCTACAAAACATCTGTAAGAGCTGGTGACATATTCAATAACAGCCATATGATATACATAGCACTTTAACTTATATTAAATGAAAAGTGTTAATTGTTATTTATTAGTGTTAGTCACCTGCAATGCTATCTCACTTGTGGAGACTTGTTTCGAGTTCCTAGCTGCAGTGTGGGATCCTTCACTCATGTGCCTGAAGGACAGCCTTTTTAAGTTCAAAGTTTTTGTCTATCCATTGTGCCATAAGACTTAATCATGCTAACGGAGCTAACACGACGTCCAAATGTCTGTGGTAAAACTCACCCAACAAGTCGTGCTATCGGCTATTAACTCTGTCACTTACAATGTTTCCAAATATCTGGCGTCTGTACTCATCCCTTTAGTTGGCAGCTCAGAACACCACATACAGAACACCATGGACTTTGTGGACAAGGTGAGGGATGTCATCATGGAGACTGATGAAACAATGGTCTCTTTTGATGTCACATCACTCTTTACGTGCATTCCTGTTGATGATGCAGTAGAGGTGGTCAGTTTAAGATTAAAATCAGACACCAGTCTGAGCAGCAGGACCACGCTTTCCACATAACAACTGTGTCAACTCTTGAAACTGTGCCTGCAGTCAACCTACTTCACATATGGGGAGCAATATTATAGGCAGAAACATGGGTGTGCTATGGGGTCTCCAGTTTCTCCTATTGTTGCCAACCTGTACATGGAGGAGGTAGAAAAGAGAGCCTTGACGTCCTTTTCAGGGACACCACCAAGTCATTGGTTCAGGTATGTTGACGACACCTGGGTTAAAATTAAATCTCAGGAAGTCCAACATTTCACTGATCACATCAACTCTGTGGATAAATACATCAAGTTCACACGAGAAGATGTGATCAGTCTTACATGAGGAAACTAAACAGCCACTGGCCAAAAGGATGGCCCAGCACAGAAGAGCAACATCATCCGGCCAGGACTCTGCAGTCTACACTCAAGGCGGGGGGGGGGGGGTGGGGTGAAACTGTTCAGCAATTTGTAGACATACAGGAGTATTTTGAACTGGATTCAAAGGTGAACCGATAGTCAGTGCAGGGAGGCCAAAACTGGTGTAATGTACTCTCTTTTGCCTGTACTGGTAAAAAATCGGGCTGCTGCATTCTGGACCAGTTGTAGTCGTGCAGTGGAGGTCTGACTGATACCAAACAGGAGCGAATTGCAGTAATCAAGCCTAGATTTAATGAATGCATGTTTTACTGTCTCCAGGTTATTTTTGGACAATATGGGCTTCAGCTTAGAAAGTTGCCTCAGTTGGAAAAAACAGGTTTTAACAATCATGTTTACATGACTGTTGAGTTTCATGGAAGGGTCCATTATCACTCCCATATTTGTGACTCTTTGTTTTTCTGACAGGGTTAGAGTGGAAATGTCGATGCAGTGGTTTGTGATCGTGTCGTGGGGAGGGAACAACATGACTTCAGACTTCTTTTCATTAAAACTTAAGAAATTTAAAGTCATCCAGTCCCTAATGTCAGCCAGGCAGTCGAGCAGAGATTGAATAGAGCATGTACCATTGTGCCTTAGGGGGAATTAAATTTGACAGTCATCGGCATAAAAGTGAAAGGGTATGTTGTGTTTCTGGAAAATAGCACCAAGTGGCAGCAGGTATAAAGAGAATAGGAGGGGACCCAGGATGGATCCCTGCGGAACCCCCCATTTAAGGTCTGCCGCAGCAGAACTAAAATCTTTGATGGAAACACAAAAGGATCTGTCAGCGAGGTAGGATCTGAACCAATTGAGGGCTGACCCTGTGATGCCCACCTACTGCTCCAACCTAGCAATGAGGATCTCATGGTCGATGGTGTCAAAGGCAGCTGTGAGGTCCAATAGGACAAGTAGCACAGAATCACCAGTATCTGTGGAAAAGAAGATGTCATTAAAAACCTTCAGTAGGGCAGTTTCAGTGCTGTGGAGAGGTTTAAAGCCAGATTGGAATAGCTCTAAGATAGCATGATCCTCCAGGAAGCACTTGAACTGGGTCTCAGCTTTTTTCTACAGTAGTTTAGAAACAAATGGGAGTCTGGAGACAGGCCAGATGTGGGATACGACTGAGAGGTCAGTTCGTTTTTTTCAGGAGAGGTTGAACAGCAGCATGTTTATAGGTTTTTGGCACCACGCCAGTGGATAAACTGCTATTCACAATAGCAAGAATGAACAGCCCCAGAGTAGGAAAAACCTCTGGGAACCAGAAGGTTTCAAGCTGCACATGACCTGCTCTAGAGAAAATAGAGTGATGGGCTCAAAATGGTCAAATAGAGCTACAGATTGAAGTGGGATGGATTGGTCATGAGTTGGAGGGGAAATGAGAGCCTGGGTGGTCGCAATTTTTTCTAAAAAGAAATGTAGGAAGTTCTCACACAGCTCAGTCGAGGCTTCCAGGGGTGATGGTTCAATGAGGTGGAGAACAGAGTTTATGGCAGAGAAGAGGACACGTGGCTTTTAGTATTTGAAAAGAGACCTGCAGCCTGTCTTTCCTCCATTTGCGCTCCACCCTCCTGCACTGCTGTCTAATGGCCTTGGTGACGTCATTCAACCAAGGTTCTGCTCTGAGTTTCGATTTTGTAGTTTTAACTGGAGCAACATTATCTAGAGCTATTAAGCAGACTGGGTTGTCAGCTTCTCAGTGGTGGTGAGAAACACGGGGGGCTGAATGATCATTTCAGAGTTATAAACATCTGTGAAACGTGCTGCAGTGAAGTGGTTAATGGCCTGGCTGTAACATGCAGGAGCGCATGGCTTAGGAGTTAGACGGGGGAGGGTGAACTCAAACCTGACTGGCATGTGGTCTGAACAAACATTGTCACCGATTTCAAGATAACTAACAGTCACATCACGAGTTAAAACAAGGTCCAGTGTATGTCCGTTCTCTTGGGCGGGACCGTTTACATGCTGAGTTAGATTAAATGAGTCCAATAAATCTAAAAAGTTTTTAATCAAGGGCTTCTCCTGACAGCACACATGCAAATTAAAGTCCCCAATAATGAAAACATGATCATATTTTGGTGTGATTTCAGTCAAGAAATCAGAAAACTCATTTATGAAATCCTTAGATCGAGGTGGGTGGTAGACAAGTGCGCATAAAGTCTAAGTCCGGCCAGCACATTTTCCCTGGCGTCTGGGGTGATATCTCCGGGCAGGCAGGTGAGGAACGCAGCGAAGGTAAACAGGCACGTCCACCAGCAGCGGGGGAAGAGGGGGTGGG